AGCTGGCACTGCCACCTCTGCCCCCCTCCCCTTGTCCCTAAAGTCCAGCTCTACGGCATCTCCCGGGAGGACGTCACCTTGGGCAGGATCCTGGGAGAAGGCTTCTTTGGAGAGGTCTACGAGGGAGTCTACACCACCCCAGTGAGTGTCCCTGCCTTCTCCCTGCCCTTTCTGCCTCCTCCCTGGCCTTGGTGGGGGGGGGGGAATGGGGCAAAGCATCCCCCCACCTCTCCTTCTCCTTGCAGAAAGGGGAGCGGGTCAACGTGGCGGTGAAGACCTGCAAGAAGGACTGCAGCCCGGAGAACAAGGACAAGTTCCTGAGCGAGGCGGGTACGTTGGGGGGCGGGTCTTGCTGACTTTTGAGGGGGGGACAGAGCTCAGAGTCCCCCCCCTGGGGCTCACAGAGTGGGGCAGAGGACAGATATGGGGGGGACCTGGTGGTGCCTGCAGCACTGCAATGGTGGGGATGGTAGAACCATGCCCTGGCATCTTCTGGTCCCTGCCTGGGGACAAATCCCCGTGGCAACACAGGACAGAGCAGGAGGAAGGAGGTGGCCCATCCTCTCACCCCTGTGACATGGCTCTTCTCCAAAACACCTGGTTTATGGGGGGGGATGGCTACCAGGAGGGCAATAAAGGCTGCTAAATCCTTGTGTGAGACCAGATGGGCACCACCTGGATGAAGATCCCTGGGGAGCTAGAAATTGGGAGCCCCAAACTCTTTGGGGACACACTTGGCTGTCACTGGCAGTTCCTCCTGCTCTGTCTGTGGCTCCATGGCAGAGACCTGTCCCCACACCCCAGGTTTGGGCTCCTGGAGAAGGGACACCCCCCATTCCAGGGTGTCTGACCTGGCTGTGGTCTCCCTGCAGTGCTGATGAAGAAGCTGGACCACCCCCACATCGTGAAGCTCATCGGCATCGCCGAAGAGGAGCCCACCTGGATCATCATGGAGCTCTATCCCTACGGAGAGGTGAGTAGGGTCCCACCACCAGATCCTGTCCCATCCTGCCACCCTTCCTGCCCCCTGTTTGGTCCCTGACCCCCCCCTGGCTTGTTCCCTTGCAGCTGGGGCAGTACCTGGAGCAGAACAAGCACTGCCTGGCCGTGCCCACCCTCATCCTCTACGCGCTGCAGATCAGCAAAGCCCTGGCCTACCTGGAGGCCATCAACTGCGTGCACAGGTAGGGCAGGGAGGGAAGAGGAGCTGGGGAGGGTGGTGGGAGAGGCAGGGGACAGCAGGGTCCATGGGGGGACAGGCAGGTGGGGAGCAGCAGGAGGCAGAAGCTGGCAGCACCCTTTGGTGCAGACACTTTTTGCAGCCTGGTGAGCTGGTGTGAGCATCCCCCCTCCATCCCCCCTCCTTCTCCAACCCTTCTCTGTCCCTTCTCCAACCCTTCTCTGTCCCTTCTCCAACCCTTCTCTGTCCCTTCTCCAACCCTTCTCTGTCCCTTCTCCAACCCTTCTCTGTCCCTTCTCCAACCCTTCTCTGTCCCTTCTCCAACCCTTCTCTGTCCCTTCTCCAACCCTTCTCTGTCCCTTCTCCAACCCTTCTCTGTCCCTTCTCCAACCCTTCTCTGTCCCTTCTCCAACCCTTCTCTGTCCCTTCTCCAACCCTTCTCTGTCCCTTCTCCAACCCTTCTCTGTCCCTTCTCCAACCCTTCTCTGTCCCTTCTCCAACCCTTCTCTGTCCCTTCTCCAACCCTTCTCTGTCCCTTCTCCAACCCTTCTCTGTCCCTTCTCCAACCCTTCTCTGTCCCTTCTCCAACCCTTCTCTGTCCCTTCTCCAACCCTTCTCTGTCCCTTCTCCAACCCTTCTCTGTCCCTTCTCCAACCCTTCTCTGTCCCTTCTCCAACCCTTCTCTGTCCCTTCTCCAACCCTTCTCTGTCCCTTCTCCAACCCTTCTCTGTCCCTTCTCCAACCCTTCTCTGTCCCTTCTCCAACCCTTCTCTGTCCCTTCTCCAACCCTTCTCTGTCCCTTCTCCAACCCTTCTCTGTCCCTTCTCCAACCCTTCTCTGTCCCTTCTCCAACCCTTCTCTGTCCCTTCTCCAACCCTTCTCTGTCCCTTCTCCAACCCTTCTCTGTCCCTTCTCCAACCCTTCTCTGTCCCTTCTCCAACCCTTCTCTGTCCCTTCTCCCTGGCCAAGAGTCTCTCTCCTTGCAGGGATATTGCTGTGAGGAACATCCTGGTGGCCTCCCCAGAGTGCGTGAAGCTGGGGGACTTCGGGCTCTCCAGGTACATCGAGGATGAGGAGTACTATAAAGGTAAGGGATTGCGTGATGGAGTTGGGGCCCTCTCCATCCCTGGGAGGGCAGAGACCATGGTGAGACCTCGCTGCCCTGCCCTGGGGCTGCTCCATCCCCATCCTGCACCGAGCACAGCCACCATCTGTCTCTCCCTCCAGCCTCCATCACCCGGCTCCCCATCAAGTGGATGTCACCCGAGTCCATCAACTTCCGTCGCTTCACGACGGCCAGTGATGTCTGGATGTTTGGTGAGTGGTGGGATGGGGACAGAGCAGGGTCCTGGGCATCATCCACCTTCTGTGGCATCATCTGGAAGCACAGGAGCACATCCTGCTCCAGGGCGGTGGGGTTATCCCAGCCCTGCCCTTGAGGACAGGGCTCCTGGGGCAGAGCTTCCTCCAATTCAACCATCATTAGATGCTTCTTTCTGCTCTAGTGAAGTCAAGATAGTTGCGAGGGCTGAGTTAAACTCTGGCCCCTCCAAATATCCATCCTCCTGCCTGTCCACCCATCCCCATGGCCTCTGTCCATCTGTCTGTCCCTAACAACTCTATGGGGGCCAGCAGTGACCAGGAGGTGGGCTCCTTGTAGCTTCTTGGGAGAGCAGCCAGCTCTTTCCTCTGCTCATTTTTCACCCAGAGACCAGCAAGGCCGAGCAGCCAAGTGACCTGGTGTCACACCATAAAGTAGTGATGTCACCACGTCCCCAAAAACCCGAGCAAGGGGCCGGCCCCTCAGCTGTAGCATCAGTTGAGGTTCCTCATGTTGCTCCCACAGCTGTGTGCATGTGGGAGATCCTGAGCTACGGCAAGCAGCCCTTCTTCTGGCTGGAGAACAAGGACGTGATCGGGGTGCTGGAGAGGGGGGACCGCCTGCCCAAGCCTGACCTCTGCCCCCCCGTCCTCTACACCCTCATGACGCGCTGCTGGGACTATGACCCCAGTGAAAGGCCCAAGTTCAAGGACTTGGTTTGCAGCTTGAGGTGAGCAGGGTGGGTGGGGGGACCGATGATGGGGTGGGGAGGGCCATGGTTTGATGTCAGGGTGGGCAAGTTGGGTGAAGGAGAAAAATGAAGATGCATGAGATTTTGGGTCTGGAGTTTTCTGGCCAAGTCCAAACTCCTAGGACCGTTTCAGACCATTTGAGCCCACCTGCACTCAGGGTGGTGGTGCCTGGGCTGAAATGGAGATGCTTTGCTTCCTGAGGAGGGGCCTTGCAGGAGAGTCCTGACCCCACATTGCACTGGGGCCAGCCGTGGCGATGCTGGTGTGGTTGGCCATGACCAAGGAATGTCCTCCCAGTCCTTTCCCTTCACTCTTCCCATCCCTTCTTGTTCCCTTGTGTTTTCTATGGCCCATCCATCTGGAGCATCCCCACGCTCTGGGCTATGGGAGATGTGTCAATGCTCCCTCCCGGGGCTGTCACCCCCCATCTTCCCCTGCAGTGACATTTACCTGATGGAGAAGGAGCTGGCCAAGGAGCAGGAGAGGAACAACCGCCACCGGCCTCCCAAAATCATGGAGCCATCCTTCCAGGAGCCACCTCCGAAGGTGAGGAGAAGGCAGTGAAGGCGGGTTCATGACCCTACCTCGACCTGTTGGTGGGTGCTGCAGAAGTGGGCCCTCCCCGATCTTGCACCCACCGTGTGTTTCTCCCTCCTCTGCTCCCTGTAGCCCAGCAGACCCAGGTACAAGCCACCACCCCAGAACAACCTCCTGGTTCCCAAGCTGCAGTTCCAGGTAAGGATGCGTGGCTGGAGCATCCCACAGGGACGTGAGCAAAGGGGTTGACGCTGGAAAACCCTGCCTGGAGCTCAAGTCCTTGGGGGCTCGTGGCTTTTGGGGCTCCAAGGTGGCCCACACCACCACCGAGTGCCTCCAGCCACCTTGCCAGCAGGACACCACACCTCTCATGGTCTCAGCCCTGCCCACCCCATGTTTTGTCCATCCCTGGGAGCTGGTGGAGAGACTTTTGCCCTAGGGAAGGGCAATTTTGACACCTGGCTGGGAGGGAGAGGAGTTTTGATGTGACCTGGGCTGAGTTTGGCTGCCTGGTGGGAGAACAGGTCAACCCATCTCCAAGGAGCGGTGCCGGTCCCTGTGGCACCACGATGAAACCCTCAAGAGCAACGATTTTGAGTGTTCTTTTTTGGGGGCTGGGCCAGGGGCTTCATCAGCAGCGAGGGAGATCTCAACCCTGTGCTCGGGGCGAGGAAGAGCCGAGCAGGGGAGGAAGGTCCCCATCCTGCTGCGTTGGGTGGGCGTGAGGCCGCTCTGGGTGCCAAAGCCGCTGTCCCCCGCGTCGTCTGCTCCGTCTGTCTGTCCGTCTGTCCGCACTAACACCCCCGTGGCCTTGTTTTGTGCCCTTGCCACCCCGCTGCTTGCCCCCCGACCCCTGCTCACCCGCAGGTGCCCGAGGGTCTGTGTGCCAGCTCGCCCACCCTCACCAACCCCGTGGAGTACCAGTCTCCGGCCAACTCCCTGCACACCCCACCGCTCAACCGCCACAACGTCTTCAAGCGCCACAGCATGAGGGTAAGAGGAGGATTCTTTTCTCATCCTGCGACATCCAGAGGACATCCCAGTCCCCGGTGGCCTCATCCGAGGAGAAGGCTTGCTGGGAGGGATGCTCTCGCTGCACCACGCTCTGCTCTGCGCTGCCGCCTCCGCTGCTTCCAGCTCAATGTTTGCTCCCAATCCACCTGTGGGAGGGTCAAATACATCCACCCCGTGGGTGCTGGTTGGAGGGATCCATCCACCCCGTGGATGCTGGTTGGAGGGATCCATCCACCCCATGGGTGCTGGTTGGAGGGATCAAGCCCATGATCAATGCCTACAAGTATCTCAAGGGAGGGTTGAAGGAGGAGGGAGCCAGACTCTTTTCAGTGGTTCCCAGTGAGAGGACGAGGGGCAACGGGCACAAGTTGGAACATAAGAGGTTCCTCTCAAATATGAGGAGAAACTTCTTCACGGTGAGGGTGACAGAGCCCTGGGACAGGCTGCCCAGGGAGGGTGTGGAGTCCCCTTCCTTGGAGATTTTCAAGCCCTGCCTGGATGCTCCTGAGTAACACGCTCTGACAAGCTCTGGGCAATCCTGCTTCAGCAGGGGAGTTGGACTAGATGATCTCTATGGTCCCTTCCAACTCTAAAATTCAGTGAAATTCAGTGAAAGGGCTCCAGGGTGTCTCCAGCCCCCTGCTATACGTGTTTGCACAAAGACATGTTGGTGGACATCTCTAAAAACGTTTGGCTGCCGCTCCTCAGGGCTTTGGATCATGTTTGACGTTGTCACCTGAGATGCCAGCAGTGGTCTGCAGCCTGCTGGGGTTGGTTATTCCAGCCCCAAAATCAGAGCTGGGTGGTGGGATGCCTGTTTTGATGCTCTGCCCACTGTGCTGTCACAACCGTGGTGCCAATTGTGGCCACACCACGGGCACGATGAGCTTCTCCCCATGGTGACCCATGCATGCTGCCCATGGAAGGTGCTAGGATGCGGTGGTGGGAAACATAGGACCACCTGGTGGCTTCCTCTCCCTGCTGGAAACCCAGGTTCTCCCCAAATTCAGCCTGGGGGTTCATAGCTGTTGGGGTCTGGTGCATGGCTTGCATGCCCGGAGTGGGGCTCTGGGTCCCGTGCTGAAATCAGGGGGGGCTCTGGGTCTTGAACCCCCTGGTTACCACCATCTCTGCACACCAGGAGGAAGACTTCCTCCGTCCCAGCAGCAGGGAGGAGGCGCAGAAGCTCTGGGAGATGGAGAGGCTCAGGATGCGGCAGGTCCTGGACAAGCAGCAGAAGCAGATGGTGGAGGACTACCAGTGGCTGCGGCAGGAGGAGAAGTCCCTGGTGAGTGGCCTCCAGCCCTTGCCACCCCCATGAAGGTGGTGGAACAGCCACAGCAGCCATTGAGGTTGCTCTTCCTGGCTTGGAAAACCCAGTTTTCTTTGGAGGAACAGCTCCTCCAGCAGCCAAACCTCTATTTCCTACACCCGTAAGAACCTCACGGAGCTGCTTCGTTTCCAAATGAGTATTTGGAAACTTGGACAAAACTTTAAATACTTGCAGTCTCGTCTTAATGAGCTTTTATAACGCTTTTGAAATAAGATCTGGAGAGAGCTAATGTGTGACTAATCCATCAGCTTGCGGTGAGACAGGCTGGGGAGGAGACAGAAAATCTTTTCATTTGATGGATCCAGGCAGCCAGTGAAGCAAAGCCCAGCTCCCCTCGCCCCCACAAGTGGCTGCAAACAACTGCTTCAATTAAACTTCTTTTATTTTTTTTTTTTTAGCAGCAGTTGATGGGTTCTGGTACCCCAGGAGCAGGCAGGGAGCAGATAGGGGGGATAGGATGGGATGGAGATGGGACCACCCATGGGTATGAAGCCCCTTCCCCTCCCACACTCCCAGCCCCTGCAGAGAAACGTTCCTGTGATGTGTTTCATGAGGCTCCCAGAAAACAAGAAAATGCCTTCTTCTTCCCTTTCTTTTCCCTTTTTTCCACGTTTCTCACAAAGCTTCTCCCCCTTTGCAGGACCCAACGGTGTTTATGAACAACAACCCTCCCCCGGTGAGTGGTGCTGGCCCTGGAGAGGCTGGGTCAGGGTGTATTTTGGTGCAGGGAAGGGGGGTCCTTCTCCTTGGGGGTGTCTGGATTTGCTTTGGCATGGACGGGTGATAAATATTTATATACATTCCCCTCACGTTGGGAAAATTAATCTGCAATTGTTAACGGGGTGAAATATTGGTGGTCTGGAGCTCCCCACCAGAAGCCCAGGAGGGGATGGTGATGCCTCCTCCCTCTTCACTGCCTCCAGATGGGACTTTGTGCCTCTCATTCCCTGTTTCTTCCCTCCACAGCTGCTCCCGGAGAAGGAGACGGATTACAGTGAGTGCCCGGAGCTGCCCGGGGTGTGGGGCTGCCCCTGACCCCCACCCAGCAGCTCCCACTTTGGGGCTGCAAGCAGGGACCCCCACACTGTGCTGCCAGGAGCCATGGGGCCGTATCTCCCCCGGCTTTGGGATCCTCCATGAAAGAATTCCCAGATCCTGGGGAGAAGCTTTGCCTGTCCAAGGAGCTGGGGGGTCTTCCTGTCCTGGCCATGGGGGTCCAAGGGGGTCTGGCCCTGGGAGGTGGCCCATTTGGGGTGGGTCAAGGTGTCCAGCCACAGCAGGACACGCTTCTCCAGGGTGGTGTGGGGCGTGGAACGGGTCCCTGGGGTCTTGCAACATGTCCCTGTGTCCGAGGGGACAGCCAGAGTGACTCTCCTTCTTTCCCTTACTGACGGCATAGCGGAGTTCACGGGGCCCCCCCAGAAGCCTCCAAGACTTGGGGCACAGGTAAGACGTCCCCGGATGGGGCCACCATGGTCCCAGTTCTCCTCCTCCACCTCCATCATCCCTCTGCATCTGCAGGATGGGCCTTGTCTGTCTCTCCCAGGCCCCAGAGGGGTCAGACAAACCCAGCAGCATTGAGGTTGCAGGTGGGAGGTGTCCAGGGCTCCTTGTAGCTGGTGGTCTTTCCCTACTTGCCCCCTCGGTCCATCTGATCCCAACATGTCCCTGTTCCTCTACAGTCCATCCAACCGGCCCCCACCGCCAACCTGGACCGCACAGATGACACCGTGTACAGCAACGTCATGGACCTGGTGCGGGCTGTGCTGCAGCTGAAGAATGAGATCACCCTCCTGCCCCCAGAGGGCTACATCCTCGTGGTGAAGGTAGGGACAGCAGGGAGAGGACAATGGGGGAGGGAATGGGGAATGAGTCTGCCGAGCATCATCCACCAAGCATCCTTCTCAAGAAGGTCCCACATGCATAGGAGGGAGCATTTCCAACATTCCCACCTCCTGCTTTGGATCCTTGGGCCAATGATGGGAGTTTCCAATGTGCCCTACACCTCCATTGGGTCCTTGGGTGAATGGTGAGAGGGTTTACAACTTGCCCTGCTCCACTCTTGGGTCCTTGGGTCAATGGTTAGAGGCTTCAACGCGCTCTGCTCCTCCATTGGGTCCTTGGGTCAATGGTGGGAGAGCTTCCAGCACTCCCTGCTCCTCCATTGGGTCCTTGGGTCAATGGTGGGAGAGTTTCCAGCAGTCCTTGCTCCTCCATTGGGTCCTTGGGTCAATGGTGGGAGAGCTTCCAGCACTCCCTGCTCCTCCATTGGGTCCTTGGGTCAATGGTGGGAGAGTTTCCAGCCCTCCCTGCTCCTCCATTGGGTCCTTGGGTCAACGGTGGGAGAGCTTCCAGCACTCCCTGCTCCTCCATTGGGTCCGTGGTCAACGATGGGAGAGTTTCCAGCACTCCCTGCTCCTCCATTGGGTCCTTGGGTCAATGGTGGGAGAGTTTCCAGCACTCCCTGCTCCTCCATTGGGTCCTTGGGTCAATGGTGGGAGAGTTTCCAGCAGTCCTTGCTCCTCCATTGGGTCCTTGGGTCAATGGTGGGAGAGTTTCCAGCACTCCCTCCTCCTCTATTGGGTCCTTGGTCAACGATGGAAGAGTCTCCCACCATGCCCCTCTCCCAGATGGGATCCTTGGCTCAGTGACAGACTATTCCCATGTCCCACTTCCCCGTGCCCGTGCCTGGGGCCATCCTAACCCTGCCGTCCTCCCTGCAGAACGTGGGCCTTTCCCTGCCTCCCACCATGTCCTTCTCCCAAATGGGATCCTTGGCTTGATGACACAGACTATTCCCATGTCCCACTTCCCTGTGCCTGTGCCTGGAGCCATCCTAACCCTGCCATCCTCCCTGCAGAACGTGGGCCTTTCCCTGCGGAAGCTGATCGGCAGCGTCGACGAGATCCTGCCCATCCTGCCCGCTGCCTCCCGCACCGAGGTAGGACCAGGGGGAGGAAGGAGAAAGGGGTCTTGCGTGGGGTCGGGTGCTGGTGGCACCCCTATCCCTAACCCCCCTGCCTGTCACGGTCAGATCGAGGGGACCCAGAAGCTGCTCAACAAGGACTTGGCCGACCTCATCAACAAGATGCGGCTGGCGCAGCAGAACGCCGTCACCTCGCTGAGCGAGGAGTGCAAGAGGCAGATGCTGACGGCCTCCCACACCCTGGCCGTGGACGCCAAGAACCTCCTGGATGCCGTGGACCAAGCCAAGGTCCAGGCCAACCTGGTGAAGCTGTGCTTGGAGTGAAGGCAAGGGTGGAGAGAGAGAGAGAGGGGGAAGGAGAAGGGGTGGGGAAGGAAAGGAGGAGGAGAGGGACCCCCCGTGCTCCGGTGGACGGAGATGGGAGGAGAGCGTTGCGGAGGAGCTGGCTTTTGTGTGTCTCCTGTGGCCTGGCCGTCCTGCCCTCCCTGTCCCCCCTCCTCCTGCAGCCGCTCGTGTCTTTAGCGTCGTCTCGTTGGTCTTCTGAAGAAGGGAGGCATCTGGTGACTCGTCCCTGGAAAGGGCTGGGGAGGGGACCTGGCCGTCCCTGAGGGCAGCTGAAGGTCCCTCTGGCTCGGTGGCTTCCCTAGTTGCCCCCATCTCCGTGTGTCCGTCCCTCGGCCCCTCCGAGGACAGATGGCCGCGGGCGGCGTGTCACCAGGGGGACCTGGTGGCCGGGGGAGCTGGCATCCCAGGGGTGGTCCCCAGGAGCGGTGGCCGGAGGGACTGTTTGCGTTTCCTTGTACATTGTATAGAAGAATTTATTTAATGGTGGGAGGTGGCTCCATGCACCGTGGTGGAGCCAGTTGTGGTGCCCGTGGCCGGAGTCGGACCAGTTCCAAGCCTGCAGAGCACGGCGAGGGGGGAGGGATGGGACCTCGGTGTCCACAGCTTTCGGTGACACAAACCAGGAGCACGGTTCCTCCTCCAGCTGAGTGCCCTCCCAGCTGCTCTGTGTCAGCACCAACGGCAAAACCAAGTCTCTGTTCGGTTTGTGCTTCCCAGTTGGAAACCGTCACGGTTCGGGCTTTTCCCCAGCATCTTCCCACAGCGCTGTTCATTCCAGCTGAGATAAACCATGCACAAAAGTCCTGCCCTGCCTGTAATTGCCTCGTCACCCCCTTCCCCTACCCTGGGGACACCTCCCCTGGTCACCAGCACCTCTGCAGAAGGAGGTTGTCCCGCTCAGAGCTGAGGTATCTCGCCAGCGTGGGGAAGTGCCATCCTGGTGGCAGCATCCCCAGGGGACCTTCTGGGGTGAACCTGGGTCTGGTGGATCCACAGCCTCTCTGGAACCCTATTTCCCTCCCATTTGAGCCTACAATCCATACAGGTGTCCTGGACTCCACCTGCTCCCACCCCAAGAAAGTATCTGCAGATATTTGCTTCTGGAAGAGCATCAGGAATCATAGAACAGTTTGGGTTGGAAGGGACCTTAAAGACCATCTTGTTCCAACCCCCTGCCATGGTGGAGGCTGCTGGGAGGTGGTTCATGTGGGATAGCACAACTGTGAAGATGGGGTCCCCCACAAAAGAAGGATGTTTGGGGGGGTTCTAGTGCCACTCTGGTGGTGGTCACCCTAGAGCTTGAGCCCTGGTGGCCTTATCACCCAGAGAGGGGTGGTGGGTGATGGTTTGATGGCTGTGGCTGGCAAGAGGGTGCTGGAGGGATAAATGTGGGACGGGGAGCGAGTTCCCCCTCTGCCCCATGGTCCAGGTTGAGCCAACCAAAGGCTGCAACACCCTTGGGATGGGCACATCCCTCCATGGCACCATTTATTCCAGCCCATTTCGCTCCTAAAAGCATGATGTATTTTCTGAAACCCCCCCTCAGACTGCGTCCAGCACCACCATGGGTAGGGCTCCTGGAGGAGAGGAAAAGCCAGGAGAAACCTGGTGTTTCTCAGGGCATGGAAGAAGAGAGGAGATGTTCTGGAAGCTAGATATTAAAAGCTGGATTGCAGTGATCATCAGTTTGGGATCTGCTGTGAGATGGAGGAGGAGGATTTGTTCTCCCCACACCAGTGGAGTCCACCAGCATTGGCATTCCCTGAGCTCCCGGGGTCCTTGGGCTCTCTCTGGCTGTGTCTGGGTGGGTTGTCCCATTCCCCAGGGTGGGTTTTCCCTTCCAAGCCACCCCTATTTCTGGGTCGGCCATTCCCACCCCCCTGGCACCCCAAGCTCCGGTGTGGGATGGTGTGGAAGCGACCACTGGTGCCAGTGGGTTGTGGAGGGTCTGCTCCTGGGGTGGGCTTTGCAGAGCAGAAACCTACGAGCCATGCAGCTGAGCAGGGACCTTTCTCTCTCTCCTCCCATGGCTGTACCCCTTCTGCATGGACCATCCAAAGCCTTATTGCTTGTCCCATGTCATGCATGACTTCACCAGCCTGTGGTCCTGAGCACCCGGAGGTCAGGGTGTGTCCTAAAGCAGCTGGGATGTCCCCTCTTCTTGGCCAACACATTGGGAGTCATAACCAGACGCAGCTCTTGGGTTTTGGGTAGGACTTGGAGCAGCTCGAGGAGGCAGATGCCTCTCCTAGATGCCTCCAGCCTGTGCTCAGGCGATGGAGAACCTGTACCATGCCTTTCTTCGTGCCAGGATGGCTGTGACCACCATCCATCCCCACCATCCCCAGGTGACCCCTTGGCACAGCCCTTCCTTCACCCTGCCTTTCCCATCCAAGTGTCCTCAATGGTTGCACCCATGTCCTCCCAGGGCGAGGGAAGGTCTCCTCCCAGGAGAAGGGACCGTGCATCTCCTGCCATCCCCACCACAGCCTGGCCCAGCCCCTAGATCATCCCCGCCAGGTAGGGCGGGAGGAAGAGCCCCACGGTGCCCAGCAAGCAGACGATGATGAACATCCAGAGGAAGATGCGGTCGATCACCATGGCCACGTACTTCCAGTCCTCCTTCACCTGTGGAGCAGAAAGGGGCTGTGAGCACGGGCAGAGGATGCAGCCCCCCGTTTGTGAGGACCTCTTGGGGTTAGGAGACCATCCAGGGCTTCGTCTACATCCACTGTTTGTCTCAAGGTGAGGAGATACCCCTGTGTCTTGGGAAATTCCTGGAGCAGCAGGGCTGGGGGATGGACTTCTTCGGGGAGGCTGCTTGGGACAGAGCTAATCCCACCCAGGGTTTTCTGAAACCACCTGGATAAAAGTAGGGGTGCAGGGTCCTGAGCTGGGTCCCAGCAGGGCAGGCTGGGCCATCGCTGCTCTCCCAGGGCAGGGCAGCACGGGCAGGAGAGGGACTTAAAATCACAGAATGGTTTGGGTTGGAACGAACCTTAAAGATCATCCAGTTCTGTCCCTGCCCCGGGCAGGGACACCTCCCACCAAACCAGGTTGCTCAAAGCCCCGTTCAACCTGGCCTTGAACCCCTGCCAACATCCCCGCAGCCAGCAAGGATGGGAGCTGGAGGAACCCTCAACTGACCCTGGCATCTCTCAAGAGGTGATTGTTGATCTTAGCCCTGGCTTTGGGTCACAGAATCATAGAATTGCCCAGGTTGGGAGGGACCTTTCAGATCATGGAGTCCAACCGTTGACCTAACACTGCCCAAACCACCACTGACCCATGTCCCTCAGCACCACGTCTGCCCGGCTTTGAAATCCCTCCAGGGATGGGGACTCCACCACTGCCCTGGGCAGCCTCTGCCAAGGCTTCACAGCCCTTTCCAGGAAGAACTTTTCCCCAATCTCCAACCTAACCCCCCCCTGGGGCCACTTGAGGCCGTTTCCTCTTGTCCCATGGCCTGTTCCTTGGGAGAAGAGACCGACCCCCCCTGGCTACACCCTCCTTTCAGGGAGTTGGAGAGAGCGAGAAGGTCTCCCCTCAGCCTCCTTTTCTCCAGGCTGAACACCCCCAGCTCCCTCACTCCTCAATGTCTGTCTTGTCATGAAGGGCCCAAAACTGGACATCCGAGGTGGGTCCTCAGCAGCCAGGGATTTAACTGGGGGTCCCAGCAGGGACTCCCACATGGACATACAAGTGTTGGAGCCCCCACACCCCCCAGCCCTTGGGGACACCCACTCACCGAGAAGTCAGCGTCCTCGGCTCGCAGGTGGTCCGCGATGTACTGCACCCCTTCCAGGGCCTTCAGGATGCTGGGGGACAGTGTCAGCCCCTGCTCTGATCCTGCCTCCTCCTCCTCCTCTTCCTCCTTGGGGGGCACCCGGGGGGCTGACCCCGCTGATGCCTTCCCAGCTTGTCGCCCGCAGCCATAGCGGCACTGGGCGCCCTGGTCACGGGAGCCTGCCTGGGGCATGCGGCTGGGGTATGTCTTCTCCTCCTCTTCCTCCTCCTCTTCTTCTTCCTCCTCTTCCTCCTCTTCCTCCTCCCACTTGTCATCCACGTCGGTCTCCAGCCAGCACCGGGAGGTGCTGAGCCTGGTCCCCGGGAGGTCATACTGCCCCGCGGTCCCCTCGGGGGGAGGCAGCGCCGGGGGTCGCTTCATGAAGAGCCAACGAGGGATGAAGTCCAGGAAGAAGCTACGGACCCAGCGGGGCATCGTGTGGGTGCTGGGGGAGCGGTGGTGGACGTTGAGGACAAAGACGGTGATGATGATGGAGAGCGTGACGAAGATCATGGTGAAGAGGAGGTACTCGCCGATGAGAGGGATGACCAGAGAGGTGGAGGGGATGATCTCCGTGATGAGCAGCAGGAAGACAGTGAGGGAAAGCAGGACGGAGATGCAGAGGGTGATCTTCTCCCCACAGTCGGAGGGCAGGTAGAAGACCAGCACGGTCAGGCAGGAGATAAGGAGGCAGGGTATGATGAGGTTGATGGTGTAGAAGAGCGGGAGGCGACGGATGATGAAGCAGAAGGTGATGTCGGGGTAGATCTCGGTGCAGCAGTCGTACTTCTTGGAGTTATAGGTGCCGATGGCATTTATGATGGCCCACTCACCGCTCTCCCAGTAATCCTTGAGGTCCACGTGGTGGTCCATGTTCTCCAGGTCAATCTTGGCCTTATCGTAGGTCCAGGAGCCAAACTTCATCTTGCAGTTCTGCTGGTCGAAGGGGAAGAAGGTGACATCGATACTGCAGGAGCTCTTGTAGATGGCGGGTGGCACCCATTTCACTGTCCCAGTGGAGAAGAGGTGGGCCTTCGTCATGTGGGTCACAGCGAATTCCCCATCGGCACTGTAGAGGTGGAGAGGTAGAAGGTCAGAGGAAGATGAAGGTTTTCGCCCAAGAAACAGGGTCAGGAGCTCCCCCAGCTCTCAGGGCTGGGATGATCCTTGATTTGAGGCCATAGTCCCATCATGAATCCATGCATGGTGCTGGTTTCACCCTCCTGAGCATCATCCAGAGCATGGAGATGGGTGGGAGTAGGAGCACTGGACATGGGGAGACAGACGCAGATTGATTTGCATCCTTACCAGGGGGGTGGGATGGGGGCAGGAGGTCCAGGGGAGGGGAAGGGGGGCCTAGAAGTGCCAGGGAGCACTGGCATAGGATGGAATGGGATGATGGATGGGATGGAATGGGATGGGACCATGGCAACACCACTCACTTGTTGTAGAGCACGATGTCAGGGATCCAGATCATCTCAGAGGGCACCCGAATGGAGGTGACGTTGTCAAATTCGGCCGGGTCCCAGCGCAGCTTGTAGTCACTCCACTCCTGGAGGGGGGCACAGAGAGCAAGGCCTCTTGGTCTGGTGGGACTGAGCTGCCCGATGCCACCTTTCTCCTCCTCCTCTGGCAGCATCCCGCCAAGGAACAGCACCATGGAGGTGCCACCAAGACCCCCGAGCAAAGGCTTTCTGCCCCAAATTCTGTGCCCTCCTTGATATGCTCCTGCCCTTGCCCCAGACAGGGAACAGGGGTTTCCTTGTACATTGTATAGAAGAATTTATTTAATGGTGGGAGGTGGCTCCATGCACCGTGGTGGAGCCAGTTGTGGTGCCCGTGGCCGGAGTCGGACCAGTTCCAAGCCTGCAGAGCACGGCGAGGGGGGAGGGATGGGACCTCGGTGTCCACAGCTTTCGGTGACACAAACCAGGAGCACGGTTCCTCCTCCAGCTGAGTGCCCTCCCAGCTGCTCTGTGTCAGCACCAACGGCAAAACCAAGTCTCTGTTCGGTTTGTGCTTCCCAGTTGGAAACCGTCACGGTTCGGGCTTTTCCCCAGCATCTTCCCACAGCGCTGTTCATTCCAGCTGAGATAAACCATGCACAAAAGTCCTGCCCTGCCTGTAATTGCCTCGTCACCCCCTTCCCCTACCCTGGGGACACCTCCCCTGGTCACCAGCACCTCTGCAGAAGGAGGTTGTCCCGCTCAGAGCTGAGGTATCTCGCCAGCGTGGGGAAGTGCCATCCTGGTGGCAGCCTCCCCAGGGGACCTTCTGGGGTGAACCTGGGTCTGGTGGATCCACAGCCTCTCTGGAACCCTATTTCCCTCCCATTTGAGCCTACAATCCATACAGGTGTCCTGGACTCCACCTGCTCCCACCCCAAGAAAGTATCTGCAGATATTTGCTTCTGGAAGAGCATCAGGAATCATAGAACAGTTTGGGTTGGAAGGGACCTTAAAGACCATCTTGTTCCAACCCCCTGCCATGGTGGAGGCTGCTGGGAGGTGGTTCATGTGGGATAGCACAACTGTGAAGATGGGGTCCCCCACAAAAGAAGGATGTGGTCACCCTAGAGCTTGAGCCCTGGTGGCCTTATCACCCAGAGAGGGGTGGTGGGTGATGGTTTGATGGCTGTGGCTGGCAAGAGGGGGCTGGAGGGATAAAGTGGGGACGGGGAGCGAGTTCCCCCTCTGCCCCATGGTCCAGGTTGAGCCAACCAAAGGCTGCAACACCCTTGGGATGGGCACATCCCTCCATGGCACCATTTATTCCAGCCCATTTCGCTCCTAAAAGCATGATGTATTTTCTGAAACCCCCCCTCAGACTGCGTCCAGCACCACCATGGGTAGGGCTCCTGGAGGAGAGGAAAAGCCAGGAGAAACCTGGTGTTTCTCAGGGCATGGAAGAAGAGAGGAGATGTTCTGGAAGCTAGATATTAAAAGCTGGATTGCAGCGATCATCAGTTTGGGATCTGCTGTGAGATGGAGGAGGAGGATTTGTTCTCCCCACACCAGTGGAGTCCACCAGCATTGGCATTCCCTGAGCTCCCGGGGTCCTTGGGCTCTCTCTGGCTGTGTCTGGGTGGGTTGTCCCATTCCCCAGGGTGGGTTTTCCCTTCCAAGCCACCCCTATTTCTGGGTCGGCCATTCCCACCCCCCTGGCACCCCAAGCTCCGGTGTGGGATGGTGTGGAAGCGACCACTGGTGCCAGTGGGTTGTGGAGGGTCTGCTCCTGGGGTGGGCTTTGCAGAGCAGAAACCTACGAGCCATGCAGCTGAGCAGGGACCTTTCTCTCTCTCCTCCCATGGCTGTACCCCTTCTGCATGGACCATCCAAAGCCTTATTGCTTGTCCCATGTCATGCATGACTTCACCAGCCTGTGGTCCTGAGCACCCGGAGGTCAGGGTGTGTCCTAAAGCAGCTGGGATGTCCCCTCTTCTTGGCCAACACATTGGGAGTCATAACCAGACGCAGCTCTTGGGTTTTGGGTAGGACTTGGAGCAGCTCGAGGAGGCAGATGCCTCTCCTAGATGCCTCCAGCCTGTGCTCAGGCGATGGAGAACCTGTACCATGCCTTTCTTCGTGCCAGGATGGCTGTGACCACCATCCATCCCCACCATCCCCAGGTGACCCCTTGGCACAGCCCTTCCTTCACCCTGCCTTTCCCATCCAAGTGTCCTCAATGGTTGCACCCATGTCCTCCCAGGGCGAGGGAAGGTCTCCTCCCAGGAGAAGGGACCGTGCATCTCCTGCCATCCCCACCACAGCCTGGCCCAGCCCCTAGATCATCCCCGCCAGGTAGGGCGGGAGGAAGAGCCCCACGGTGCCCAGCAAGCAGACGATGATGAACATCCAGAGGAAGATGCGGTCGATCACCATGGCCACGTACTTCCAGTCCTCCTTCACCTGTGGAGCAGAAAGGGGCTGTGAGCACGGGCAGAGGATGCAGCCCCCCGTTTGTGAGGACCTCTTGGGGTTAGGAGACCATCCAGGGCTTCGTCTACATCCACTGTTTGTCTCAAGGTGAGGAGATACCCCTGTGTCTTGGGAAATTCCTGGAGCAGCAGGGCTGGGGGATGGACTTCTTCGGGGAGGCTGCTTGGGACAGAGCTAATCCCACCCAGGGTTTTCTGAAACCACCTGGATAAAAGTAGGGGTGCAGGGTCCTGAGCTGGGTCCCAGCAGGGCAGGCTGGGCCATCGCTGCTCTCCCAGGGCAGGGCAGCACGGGCAGGAGAGGGACTTAAAATCACAGAATGGTTTGGGTTGGAACGAACCTTAAAGATCATCCAGTTCTGTCCCTGCCCCGGGCAGGGACACCTCCCACCAAACCAGGTTGCTCAAAGCCCCGTTCAACCTGGTCTTGAACCCCTGCCAACATCCCCGCAGCCAGCAAGGATGGGAGCTGGAGGAACCCTCAACTGACCCTGGCATCTCTCAAGAGGTGATTGTTGATCTTAGCCCTGGCTTTGGGTCACAGAATCATAGAATTGCCCAGGTTGGGAGGGACCTTTCAGATCATGGAGTCCAACCGTTGACCTAACACTGCCCAAACCACCACTGACCCATGTCCCTCAGCACCACGTCTGCCCGGCTTTGAAATCCCTCCAGGGATGGGGACTCCACCACTGCCCTGGGCAGCCTCTGCCAAGGCTTCACAGCCCTTTCCAGGAAGAAATTTTCCCCAATCTCCATCCTAAACCTCCCCTGGGGCAACTTGAGGCCGTTTCCTCTTGTCCCATGGCCTGTTCCTTGGGAGAAGAGACCGACCCCCCCCTGGCTACACCCTCCTTTCAGGGAGTTGGAGAGAGCGAGAAGGTCTCCCCTCAGCCTCCTTTTCTCCAGGCTGAACACCCCCAGCTCCCTCACTCCTCAATGTCTGTCTTGTCATGAAGGGCCCAAAACTGGACATCCGAGGTGGGTCCTCAGCAGCCAGGGATTTAACTGGGGGTCCCAGCAGGGACTCCCACATGGACATACAAGTGTTGGAGCCCCCACACCCCTCAGCCCTTGGGGGCACCCACTCACCGAGAAGTCAGCGTCCTCGGCTCGCAGGTGGTCCGCGATGTACTGCACCCCTTCCAGGGCCTTCAGGATGCTGGGGGACAGTGTCAGCCCCTGCTCTGATCCTGCCTCCTCCTCCTCCTCTTCCTCCTTGGGGGGCACCCGGGGGGCTGACCCCGCTGATGCCTTCCCAGCTTGTCGCCCGCAGCCATAGCGGCACTGGGCGCCCTGGTCACGGGAGCCTGCCTGGGGCATGCGGCTGGGGTATGTCTTCTCCTCCTCTTCCTCCTCCTCTTCTTCTTCCTCCTCTTCCTCCTCTTCCTCCTCCCACTTGTCATCCACGTCGGTCTCCAGCCAGCACCGGGAGGTGCTGAGCCTGGTCCCCGGGAGGTCATACTGCCCCGCGGTCCCCTCGGGGGGAGGCAGCGCCGGGGGTCGCTTCATGAAGAGCCAACGAGGGATGAAGTCCAGGAAGAAGCTACGGACCCAGCGGGGCATCGTGTGGGTGCTGGGGGAGCGGTGGTGGACGTTGAGGACAAAGACGGTGATGATGATGGAGAGCGTGACGAAGATCATGGTGAAGAGGAGGTACTCGCCGATGAGAGGGATGACCAGAGAGGTGGAGGGGATGATCTCCGTGATGAGCAGCAGGAAGACAGTGAGGGAAAGCAGGACGGAGATGCAGAGGGTGATCTTCTCCCCACAGTCGGAGGGCAGGTAGAAGACCAGCACGGTCAGGCAGGAGATAAGGAGGCAGGGTATGATGAGGTTGATGGTGTAGAAGAGCGGGAGGCGACGGATGATGAAGCAGAAGGTGATGTCGGGGTAGATCTCGGTGCAGCAGTCGTACTTCTTGGAGTTATAGGTGCCGATGGCATTTATGATGGCCCACTCACCGCTCTCCCAGTAATCCTTGAGGTCCACGTGGTGGTCCATGTTCTCCAGGTCAATCTTGGCCTTATCGTAGGTCCAGGAGCCAAACTTCATCTTGCAGTTCTGCTGGTCGAAGGGGAAGAAGGTGACATCGATACTGCAGGAGCTCTTGTAGATGGCGGGTGGCACCCATTTCACTGTCCCAGTGGAGAAGAGGTGGGCCTTCGTCATGTGGGTCACAGCGAACTCCCCATCGGCACTGTAGAGGTGGAGAGGTAGAAGGTCAGAGGAAGATGAAGGTTTTCGCCCAAGAAACAGGGTCAGGAGCTCCCCCAGCTCTCAGGGCTGGGATGATCCTTGATTTGAGGCCATAGTCCCATCATGAATCCATGCATGGTGCTGGTTTCACCCTCCTGAGCATCATCCAGAGCATGGAGATGGGTGGGAGTGGGAGCACTGGACATGGGGAGACAGATGCAGATTGATTTGCATCCTTACCAGTGGGGTGGGATGGGGGGCAGGAGGAGCACTGGACATGGGGAGACAGACGCAGATTGATTTGCATCCTTACCAGGGGGGTGGGATGGGGGCAGGAGGTCCAGGGGAGGGGAAGGGGGGCCTAGAAGTGCCAGGGAGCACTGGCATAGGATGGAATGGGATGATGGATGGGATGGAATGGGATGGGACCATGGCAACACCACTCACTTGTTGTAGAGCACGATGTCAGGGATCCAGATCATCTCAGAGGGCACCCGAATGGAGGTGACGTTGTCAAATTCGGCCGGGTCCCAGCGCAGCTTGTAGTCACTCCACTCCTGGAGGGGGGCACAGAGAGCAAGGCCTCTTGGTCTGGTGGGACTGAGCTGCCCGATGCCACCTTTCTCCTCCTCCTCTGGCAGCATCCCGCCAAGGAACAGCACCATGGAGGTGCCACCAAGACCCCCGAGCAAAGGCTTTCTGCCCCAAATTCTGTGCCCTCCTTGATATGCTCCTGCCCTTGCCCCAGACAGGGAACAGGGTCCTACCTGCTTCAGCCAGACGTTCGTGGTCATCATTTGGTTCTTCTCATCCTGTGGTGGGAAAGAGGGAGAGATGAGAGGAGAGGGGCAGGGAGAGCCAAAGTGTTTGCCCTATCACGGCATCAGCCCCCCAAATTACTGCTTTCACTTTCTGCCCTCAGCATCTGGGGTTCAGCTCCTGGGAGCAACTGGTACCAGTACAAGTCCAGGGGAGGTTTAGGATGGATATTAGGAAAAATTTCTTCACCAAAAGGGTTAATCAAGCCTTGGTAGAGGCTGCCCAGGGAAGTGGTGGAGTCACCATCCCTGGAAGTATTTAAAAGACAGGCTGACGTGGTGCTGAGGGACATGGGTCAGTGGTGGCCTGGGCGGTGTTGGGTTAAGGGTTGGATTTGATGATCTTAAAGGTCTTCTTAGGTCTTCCAAAGAAAACGATTCTATATTTCTATATTTCCCCGAGATATCTGCTCACTAGATGGCAGCAAGAAACAGCGTATTGCAGTGTACAGCCCAGCTTCTCTGAGGGATGGACAGATGGACAGTCCCGAGGGTCGGTAGGTGGAAGGATGGACAGATGGGTAGGTGGACAGGTTGATAGGTGGATAGATAGATAGGTTGACAGGTGGACACGTGGACATATGGGTAGGTAGATGGGTGGATAGACGGACAGGTAAAGGGGTAGATGAGTGGACAGATGGGTGCTCATGCGAAGAATGAGTGAGGGATGGATGGACAGACAAACCCAGTGGTGCCCCAGGGTGGGTAGATGGTGAATAAGGACATGGCAGGGATGCAGAGCTCCAGTTTTCCTTGATGTTCTCCTGCTGCCAGGGGAGGGTTTGGGATGGAGAGGAAGGATGGCGACCCCCTGCTCATAGGAGGTTGAAGGGAGACAGTGTGGGTTGATTGTCACCCACTGGAGATGGCCAGGAGGTTGCTGCTGTCCGAACACAATCTCGCACCAGTGTCCCCAGACCCTGGTGTGGCAGAGCAGTAGGACCACCTGGTGAAAAGACAGATACTTTGCACCAGTGTTCCCCAGACCCTGGCGTGGCAGACCAGTAGGACCACCTGGTGAAAAGACAGATACCGTGCAGGATTGGGGTGCCTGATACACACCACGTCGATGAGCTGCGCGATGGAGAGCCCGAACCTCACAATGACCACGTCGGAGGTGTTGGGCACCGGCCGCGACCAGCGGTTGTAGCCGGTGAAGAGGTGCTTGAAGAGACGCTCCTCAGCATGGCTGCCACGCTGGTCTGGCAGGCAGGAGGCTGTGGGGAGACAGGGATGGCAATGGGGTGGGGGAGAGCTCGCTGACACCCCCCCTTTTCCACCCCCATGCACCCCAGTGGAAGGGGGTGACCATTCCAGTCCCTCAAGAAGGGGGGCTCCAGGAAAGCTGGGGAGGGACTCTGGATGAGGGAGGGGAGCCCTAGGAGGAGGGGGAAGGGTTGGACCCTGCAAGAGGGGAGATGGAGCTGAGCTGTGGGGAAGAACTTGTTTGGTGGGAGGGTGGTGAGAGCCTGGCCCAGGTTGCCCCGAGAAGCTGTGGCTGCCCCATCCCTGGAGGGGTTCAAGGGCAGGTTGGAGGGGGCTTGGAGCAACCTGGTGTGGTGGGAGGTGTCCCTGCCCAGGGCAGGGGGTGGCACTGGGGGGGCTTTAAGGTCCCTTCCCACCCAAACCATTCTATAATTCTGTGATTCTGGGCAAGCCCCCTCTCTGCTCCAGCAGACAGGGACGGTGAATCCCACCCTGGGATGTGGAGATGGAAATGAGCCCCATCAAGGCCGTTCTCCGGGGAGCAAAGAGTGGTGCAAGGTCAACCACACAATGCTGGCCGAGAAAATCCCACCCTTGGGTGGCTGTGATCCCTCTCCCAGTCTCCTCCAGCTGCTCTTAATGGTGCTAACTGGTCCAGCTTTGCAAGGTGGAGGCTGGCACAATCCTAGAGACTGCTGCAGCCCAGCCCAGGGACCATCCCTCACCGGGCTGGGATGATGAGCTCAAGGCTCTTTGCTCTGCCTAGAAGTGGTTGGCATCGGTCTTCGGTGCCGTCAGCCTGTGGTGCATCGCTCGCCGTCCTCGCTGACTGCAGAGCCCCATAAATTTCCACCAGCGAGTCGAAGGAGGCCGAGGGAGGGAGGGATGGAGGGGAGGGAGGGCTTTGCACAGCGATGTGCAACCACAAGAAACCTTGAAGGGGTGGCCCTGCCCTGAAGAAGGATGGGTGTACGGCCCTATAGCGTGCCCCGTGCCCCACACAAGCTCTCCCCACTGGGCAGTGCAACGCTGGCCGAGAAAATCCCACTCCCAGTCTCCTCCAGCTGCTCTTACTGGTGCTAACTGGTCCAGCTTTGCAAGGTGGAGGCTGGCACAATCCTAGAGACTGCTGCAGCCCAGCCCAGGGACCATCCCTCACCGGGCTGGGATGATGAGCTCAAGGCTCTTTGCTCTGCCTAGAAGTGGTTGGCATCGGTCTTCGGTGCCGTCAGCCTGTGGTGCATCGCTCGCCGTCCTCGCTGACTGCAGAGCCCCATAAATTTCCACCAGCGAGTCGAAGGAGGCCGAGGGAGGGAGGGATGGAGGGAGGGCTTTGCACAGTGATGTGCAACCAAAAGAAACCTTGAAGGGGTGGCTCTGCCCTGAAGACGGGTGGGTATACGGCCCTATAGAATGCCCTGTGCCCCACACAAGCTCTCCCCACTGGGCAGGAAAGCCCAGCAAGGGACCCAGTTCTTCTGCTTTGGCCAGGGACAATGTGCTGAGCAGCATCAAGGGTCATGGAGGCATTGGGGAGGACTGGTCTCGAGTGAAGGGACAAGCAAGATGCCCAGTTCCTGGGAGGTCTTGCTTTGGTGGGGGGGTGGAAGCAAAATCCAGGGGTTTTTTTCATCCCTCCAAAATTTCTAGCTTGCAGAGGATGGACCTGGGGCCCCAGAGGTGCAACCCCTGTGGGGGGGATGACCCAGAGCAGCTTGACACCACCCAGACGCTTGGGTGGACATGAAGCCCGTCCTAGCATGACACATGGTGGAGGACACCATGCCAGCGAGGAGACTGGGGATACTGGGAGACTGCAGGGGGGTAAACTGGGAGAGAACTGGTTTTCCAAGTGCATGCACCACGGCCCCCTCAACTTCCCCTCCCCTCTCCCCAGATTTACCCCCCCACCCTTACCCGTCTGGAAGGTGACGAAGCACCATGCGATGAGGGGGAGGATGCCATGGGAGAGCCACCCCATCCTCCTTGGACTGGTGTCCCCCGTGGACCCCCTCCCTGGAGCAGTTTGCAAAGACCCCAGGGAGGGACCAGGGGGAGCGATGAGCCGAGACGGTGGTGAGAGAGGATGCTCAGCAGGGAAAGCCACCACAGGGGACCTCCGACGGGATGTCCCCATTGTCAGAGAGAGCTGGAGGAGCCATGGATGGAGCTGGACATGGGGTGGGAGAGCCTCAGTGGGGACACAGCCTGGCCAGAGGGTGGGTCTGGGACACTGCCAAGTCACCAGCCCCAAATTTCACTCCTGGAAAGACAGTAGAGAGCGGCACCGTCACCCCGATGCCACCGCCGTGCGGGTCTGGGAGGTGACAGTCCCACTGTGGTCCCCTCAAAGCTGCTCCCAGCCACGAGCAGGGCTTGGAGCTGATCTGAGCAGCCACCCAGTCAAGGGAAAATGTCCCCAAAGTATCTGTTCCCCGTTTGACAAGTGCTCCTCAGGCAGCTGGACCCCGTGAGTTAAAGCCATGGGGAGCCCGGGTCTGTCCCTGGGGTGATTTAACAGCAGAGATGGAGCCCAATGATCCAAACCTTGCTGGAGTCACCAAAAAATAACTGGTTTTAAGCATCCCTTTGCCCTCCCCACCTCAAAGCTGCTCCGTGTCCTGGGAACAAGGGACGGGGAAGGATCTCAGCTGCTCCAAGAAACCGTGTTGCCCCAAATGGGCTCCTGGGGGTGGGTTTCTCCGGAAGCACTCACTTCTGAGAAGTGGAATCATCCTTGTCCACCCTCATCTATTCATCCATCCATCCACCCATCCATCTTCCCATCCATCCACGCATCTATTCATCCCTTCATCCATCCATCATCTAGGCATCCACCCGTCCATCCATAGATATTCTTGGTTCCTCTCCCCAGCAAAGCAAATCTCCGCAAGGGGAGGAATCACTTCCTCTGCAGAAGCCCCCCCCAAAATCCACTCCTTACAAGGTGACTCCCCCACGCTTGACCCGTGCCCCCCCCAGGAGCAACCTCCCCTCTCCAGGAGGCAATTTCTTCCATTTTTCTCTCCTCAGAAGAATTTCTTCTCCTCAAAGAGGAGGTTCTCAGTCCAGGACTGAGGTTTCTCAAGGAGAAGCTCCTTTAGCTTCAATTCCTCCCTTGCCCGGTAAAACCACGAAGCCCCCCCTGAAGTCATCATCCTCTTCTGCGCAGATTTCGAGTGATGAATGACACGGACAGTGGAGGGGGTGGGAAAGAGGAGGAGAAACACCCGGCCACTGCGCTGAGATGGAGGGAAAACCATGGATGTGCCTCTCCTGGCTGAGAAATCTAAATCTACTGGAGAATACTGGGAGCGCTGGGGGAGATGCCTCCACTCTGGGCTTGGTTGTAGGGTCATGAGAGTGGGGCGTGATGGGTTCCTCAAAGCTCTGGTAGATATTGGA